AGTATGATAATTAACTGCACAATTACTAGAATTTTTTACATTTGATATTATACAATTTGCAAGCACAATTTGAAAAATAAATAAATAATTGGAACTGTGAACCAATTTTGTATTATATAGGCATATATATATATATATATATATATATATATTGTCATTGCATTGCATTCTTGTGGCTCAGTGACACACCTGAATGAAAGGGTCATTAGTATGCAGCCCCATTATGCGCTCATTATGCGGGCCCATTGTCTTCTCAGGTGTGAATCACAGCAGGTCACACCCCTGCGCATATTGCCTTTCCAAACAAAAAGTGTCATTTTTAAATTTAAACCAATCTATTGTTTTATGTGAATGATAAGCCAGGATGATTTTCAGATCATTTTGAAGAAAAAACTCTAGGCAACAACATCCATTAGTCAAAAGTGGACAGATATTTAGTATGTGTTTTGTGGCCTTATTTCAGAAACTTTAAGTTTTAGTTTTTTCAATAACCACGCATAAACAATATTCTCTCAAAAATACAAAAATGTACATACATGTTGATAACACATTATGGTAGCCCTGTGTGTGCTAAATAGAGTGTAATTACACCTTTGCCAGTAATATGTTTATAAGCAACTGAAAAAAGCACAAATGTCAGAGTATGTCAAAACATCTCAAGGACCCCAAAAACACCTTGGACCCCAGAGGGTTAATAATACCAGCTGACAGGGCTCTCTGTAGTCTATGTTTACAACAATTTTTTTTCTTCAGAAAAATTAACATCTAGGCTACTGTAGCCTACCTAATAATATGTACCCAAATTGAATCAAGATCGGAATAAAGTAACAAGAATTAAATTGAAATTGTAAAATTTATATCAAGCAATAATAAAAGCAGTAGCCTATACCAATTATTGCACCATGCTGTCACTAAACTTAATAAAATGATGTGTAGTTAGGCTACCAAATGTTTTGACAACCACAATAGCCTACACTTATTGTGATGCAAGTTTTTTTTTCATCTCCCTCCCCCTTTCCATAAATCTAAGCTAAGCTAAACTCAAAAGTTGGCAGCTCTGCTTATTGTGTGCAATAATAAAGAACAATGCAAATAATGAAAAACCAATAACAATAATACGGTAGTGGTACTTCTGGAAACAATAACCTCTTAGAACTGCACGAACAGTTAGACTCAAAAACACTCACAAAATACACCTTAAATGACATAAGTTAGCCTACTTTATTATTTTAAATTTGGCGCCGCAGTAAGATAGAGTCTCATATCATGTAGAGATGTTGTAAAGCTTTACACAGAGGGGAGCGGATAGATTGCCTGAATGGTTGTAGCCAAATGTAAACAAACACTCACGTATCTGATATTCCACAGTGGTTATTTGTTATCAGCGTCGTCGATCCCACGCACACACGGGGCAGTTTGCCAAATACTCCAGTAACAACTGCGTTACTGAATAGAAATAAAACAGGTAAAGAGCGAAAGAAATAAAAGACAGGATTTCCACGCATACATGCGATGATCACAGCCCGCGCTCCTCATACCGACTGGCCACTCATGAGTGAGAGAGTGCGTTCCGCCTTAAAGGAACAGTACCAAAATCTACTGGTTACAGTGTGTTATAAAATATTCGGTATAAATAAATGTAGTTATTTAGAAAAGTAAAAGAATAGTATATCTCTGTCTATTCAATAAACACCGTCTGGTTTGTAATTTTTTTATTAATCAAAATTAATAGACTCTTTAGAAAGAAGCTATAAATGGAGAAAGATGTTTATGGTTTCTGAGATGTTGTCAAAGTACAGACAAAGCAACAGTTCATCAGTGATATGATGATGTAAAACTCCTGTTCTGTCCGAGCTTAATGCATAAGTTGTCCAATTTAGATGTCTCTCAATCAAAATATAGATGCTCTTGTAAGTTATTTAGAGGATCGAGACGACACAAAATCAGCTTAAACACAAGTTCCATTTTATTACTATTTTTTTTTTTATTGTTTGTCAAATTACAAGGTATAACCACAGTATAAGAACCTAAATAACATGAAACCTTCTTAGCCTGTATAACAAGTCACTGCTGAATTGCCACAGACACATTCACTTTTCCTGAGCAATTTCATCTTCTCTCAGTGATGTGTTTGTCTGAGTCCATATTACGAGAGTAATCGCCTCTTAAAATTTACATCGAAAATATATCTGGTGCCATATTTGTCAAAAGAATAAGTTGTTACTACTACTGGGTCATTAGCAATGCTGAATACAATGTTAAAACCCTTGATTTAATGAAAACTAAATTAAATCTATTCATTATACCTAAATAAATCACAAGTTGTGTTCATTTTTATTCCTTACATTTTCACAATGTGCAGAGAGTGATTCAATCCAATAAAGTCTTCAATATGTTCTCAATGGATCACCTCTAAACAGCGAGACTAAAAACAAGTTGTTTGTGATATGAATGATATTTGATAGACTATTGTTGACATTGTTTCACACGTGCCCCATATATATTTAATGCAAATAATTAAACTCCACAAAGAAACAAAACACATCCCTTCATAATTTTATGGCAACACACTAGTTTTCTGAAATATAATTTTATCTGTATGAGATGACCATGCACTGCTTGAGCGATGACACTGACACGAGTATTTTTACATTGTTGCTATACTGTTCAGTTCATCTTGTATACAGTAACACTCAGTGTTTACTGCACATGTGCAACACAACAGAGGATCAATAAGGGTGTCGGAAGAACAAAACATGTGTGTGTGTCTGTGTGTGTGTGTGTGTGTGTGGGGGGGGGGGGGGTGGGGGTAATTTCAAATTCACACAGAGGTCCTGTGATGATTTCCATTACACGAGAGTAGATGTTAAAACTTCATGATGATTTGTACTCGGCTTTCGCCAAGATAAGCAAAACTAAGACGTAGCTTTACAATAAACTATGCTTCTCCATCCATTTACGCTTCTTTCCATATGGTGGTGTGACCCCCCTTCTGTCCGGCGTTAACGGCTGCAGTGTACTTGGCGCGTCAGCACACACGACGGCTGCAACAACAGGACCAGCACGACAACCGTCTGGATTGAGCCGAGTAGGGGACATCTCTAGGGTCTTCAAGTGGGCACCTTCCGTCCTCAGTGTTTCGTCGACTAGCCCACGACACCTCAAGAGGGCTCGACAGTGACTCTGGCGTCCCAGAGTCACCCCCCTCCGTCCCCCACTCAACTCAGCCCAGCTTACTGACCTCTACATCCCTCCTGCTGCTGAGACCTAACCACAATCTCACAATCTCTCCGCAACCCAAACATACGCGCCAACCCGTTTGACTAAGGCTGTCGAGCCCCACTGGTGCGTTAATATGCAGTTTCAGTGGACAACGGTTCCGTATGGCATACCACCTACAGCGAAACACAATATCCGCCCAACCACCCGTCATTCACGCAATATCCACAGGAACGTATACAAACAAACCAACAGACTCTTCAAGTTTTCAAGAATTCTACGAAACCGTAGCGTGGCGGCCTGTACACAGCCAGCTAGAATCTTTCCGTCTCAACCACAACCAGTTGCTGCTCCTTTCTGCTGCTTCAGATAAGTTCTTTACTGTGCGACGCAACTCTTGGCCACTGAATCCGATGTTTCTGAGGAACCGGGTTGTAGAGTGTGCCACAAAACCTCGACAACCCACTTCCACTGGATAAACCTGGACTCTCCATCCTCGCTGTTCTGCTTCAGTGGCCAGATGAGCATACCGCAGTTTCTTCCTCTCATATGCCTCATCTACCGCATCCTCCCATGGCACTGTTAACTCTATCAGTTGAACAATGCGTGTGCTGATCCAGACCACAAAACAATATCTGGTCGTAGGCAAAGAGTATAGAAGAACAAGATGCAAAACTCTGATGCTTTTTGGGGAACAGCCACTAGGTGGCGTTTTGGTAGCGCGGCCGCCATTTTGGGGTGAAAATTCCAACGGGAGTTACTGGACAACAGCACAGATAACAGTTTGTTGAGGTAGTTTTGTCTTGCATTAGTGAGTATTTCCATTGTATGCAACTTTACACATTTACTACTATTATTAGTTACCAACTCCACTAGGCCTGAAATATATTTTGTACGTTTTAATCCCTTGGATCATGCTACAAACATGATGATCTATAGAACATGATGCATTGCGGTGTCCGTTATCCTATAACTTTATTTGCCACTTTGGACAGTGGCTGTGTTTTTTTGTTTACATAGTCTTGCTTTAACGGTCATTAATATGGTACTGCAAAAAAACAAAACAAAAAAACAAGACAGTTTACTGTAAAGCTTTTCTATTGCTGTTATATATTTATTGTCCAACATTTACATTTTAGTAGCCTACAATTACATTTATTTGCTAAATTCATTTATTTCATTGATAACTTATTTTTGTAACGTTATGTGTACCTCCTGGGAAACGGTCTAACGTTATTATAACTTTATGAACTGATATCACTTTATTCTTACCTGTCACACTTAATGTGGAGAGTAATATAATTAATTAAATCCTTGAACTTCCCTGTCTCAAGTTATGTGGGGGGAAAAGCCTGGTTAAGTAGCAACTTCTTTTTAACTGCTATAACTTTAACTGTTGTGAGTTAAAATAATCACCTAATTATTTCAACCTAAAAATGACCTCTGCACTGGACTAAATATATGTATAATATATGACTGCCGAGTCGCTTTCACCCCAAAATGGCGGACGCGTAGCGCTGCTGCTGGGCGCTGGTGTTGCAATGGAACGTTCTATTGGCTTTCACTTCTTGTCAATACACGTTCTTTGTTGTAGGTTAGTGGTGGCAATCTCAGGTGGAAAAATATTAATCCAGTGCGAATAGAATGCAATAAAGAACCATTTTAACCTTCCTCCTAATTTTAGATTAAATCACTGTATTAAAGGTAATACCATTTTTTGCTTATTTACAAGTTATGGATCTGAACTTTGTCACTTAGACAACTTCGGACAATGATTTTTCTCATGTCGCTGTAGAGCAGATGATTGGGTGAAACTCTTCTCACATGAAGAGCACTTGTACGGTTTCTCTCCAGTGTGAACTCTCTCATGAACTTTCAGGTGTCCTGACCGAGAGAATCTCTTTCCACAGTGTGAACATTTGTACGGTTTCTCTCCAGTATGAACTCTCTGGTGTGTTTTTAAGTTGCCGGATGAAATGCAGGTCTTTCCACAGTCAAAGCACATATAAGGTCTCACACCAGTATGAATACTCTCATGCTGTTTTAAAGATCCAAGATGTGAAAAACTCTTTCCACATACAGAACAAAAGTGAGGCTTCACACCAGTATGAACATTAAGGTGTTTTCTTAAGCTTGATTCATAAACAAATGTTTTATCACACTGATCACAGCTGAATGATCTCACTCCAGAGTGACGGCGCAGATGCTCTTTGAGAGAGCTTTTCTGACTGAAACTCTTTCCACACTGAGAGCAAGTGAATGGTTTTTCTCCAGTGTGAATTCTCATGTGATCATTTAGGAGTCTTTTATGTCTGTAACTCTTTCCACACTGAGTGCATGTATAAGGCCTTTCTCCAGTGTGAATCTTCATGTGTGTGTTCAGCTTTGATTTACATAGGAAACTCTTTCCACACTCAGAACAGCTTAAAGATCCTTTGACTCCAGATTTTCCAGCTTGTTTCTGTGTGAAATTCTCTTCAGTCTTTGAAACGACTGCATTTCCATCTTCATTTGTGAAATAATGAGGTTTTTGAAACTGATGCTGTTTGTCTTCATTCACTTCCATTAGATCTAAAATAAACAAATTAAATTAAATTTAAAAAGGACAAATGAGAAACAAAGTGTATTAATTTTGCACATATCCAGTTTACTACTGACTCTACTAGTATCTAGTTTTAGATGTTATTGTTATATGTCAGTTTTCATCTTAATGTTCCTCATCAGTCATTAAAGAGAATGAAGGAAAACACCAACCTATTTGTTCCTCTGTATCTTCATCTTTTATTCTGCAGGGTTCTTCCTTAATCTCCATCTTTACAATAGTATGTCCGTAGTTTCTCCTGGAGTAATTCCTCCTGCTTGCTTCTTCTTCTCCTGTGGGAAGATGGGAATATTCCCCAGCATTTAAACTCTCATGAACGGCTGTGGGAGCTTCACTGACTGAAGGAGTGAATTGTGGTCGTTGTTGCTCATTTAGCAGATGATCATCACACTTACAATCACTCGAGATTATGCAGCTTTAAGTGAATTAAGGGTTTATTGCTGTAATCAGAAATCAATCAAATGTGGGAATGTGTGCAAAATAGAATAAGAATAGAATAGGAACAAAGGAATAGTTTGCCAGCATTCAGATGAGATTTACCTAAAACTAGTTATTTCTTTCACTAACGACTAGCATAATTTACATCTGCACTTTTAGAAAATGTTGAAATTTTTAATTTAGGCACACATAGTCTATTATCTGTTTTTTAGCGTATGGATAGTTCAATTAAAACCTTGTCATCTTTAGCTTACTATTAATGTTGTTAAACTTAATGTTCGAGGAAATCTTTCTGCTTAAACAATAACAACACTGATATAAGAATGTGCTGTTTATTTTTCAATCAGTTAAGAGCCATTCACACGTTAATAATGAGACAGTCAGTGAAGAGGAAAAAACGCAAGGTCCAGATACATTTTTTTTTTAAGTTGAAAGAATTTTAAATTGGGCGCAGCATTTTTAGAAAGGTTATAGAATAGTCTATCTATCTATCTATCTATCTATCTATCTATCTATCTATCTATCTATCTATCTATCTATCTATCTGTCTATCTATCTATCTATCTATCTATCTATCCTCCTGTAGGCAGGTCAATAGGGGGCGCTGCTGAGGGTATCCGTAGAGGGTGTAATTTCCCTGTAAATACGCCACTTCCTATGAGTGGAATGGTTGCAGTGCCTGAAATATTTGGCATGGTCGCTGGAAGAACAAGCTAGGTCTATTTTAATAGGTGTTATGGTTATGAGTAGTGTTTTTAACTCATTTGATGTTTTGCCCATAAGGTCTAAATGCCCTAATGCTGATAAGGTTTGGCTGGATGAGTGGTGGACACTGAATGGCTGTTGTGCTTCCTGTGCCTTCTGAAATCAGCCAGTCTGTGTTTTTCAACCGCGGAAAGACGTCAATAAAATAGCGGCAGTAGACTACAATGTCACATAGCGTTACATTTACCTCAGGAAACCATTTAATGAACATAGCACGTAAGTTGGCTAGAAGAAAATAGTATTTTATAATATATATTTAGTATTAATATAAATGAGTATTTTGCTAAATATGTGCACTAGCTATATTACATATTTATCATATTTTTTACTTGTATCATTAACATATTAAAAAGTTGTTGTAATAAAAACCGCATTAGGCCTATATTTAATTTGAGTTGTTATTTTTAACCATTAATAATACCAGCTGACAGGGCTCTCTGTAGTCTATGTTTACAATTATCTTTCTTGAGAAAAATTAACATCTACTGTAGCCTACCTAATATGTACCCAAATTGAATCAAGATCGGAATAAAACAACAAGAATTAAATTGAAATTGTAAAATTTATATCAAGCAATAATAAAAGCAGTAGCCTATACCAATTATTGCACCATGCTGTCACTAAACTTAATAAAATGATGTGTAGTTAGGCTACCAAATATGTTGACAACCACAATAGCCTACACTTATTGTGATGCAAGGTTTTTTTTTCATCCCCCTTTCCATAAATCTAAGCTAAGCTAAACTCAAAAGTTGGCAGCTCTGCTTATTGTGTGCAATAATAAAGAACAATGCAAATAATGAAAAACCAATAACAATAATACGGTAGTAGTGGTACTTGTGGAAAGAATAACCTCTTAGAACTGCACGAACAGTTAGACTGAAAAAAACACTCACAAAATACACCTGAAATGACATAAGTTAGCCTACTGTACTTACCGCATTTTTAGAGCGCGAATGAAACTTGTCCGAGACGATGCAAAGCTCCATATAGATGTCTCATATCATGTAGAGATGTTGTAAAGCTTTACACAGAGGGGAGCGGATAGATTGCCTGAATGGTTGTAGCCAAATGTAAACAAACACTCACGTATCTGATATTCCACAGTGGTTATTTGTTATCAGCGTCGTCGATCCCACGCACACACGGGGCAGTTTGCCAAACTCTCTTGTAACAACTGCGTTACTGAATAGAAATAAAACAGGTAAAGAGAAACAGAAATATAAAAGGCAGGATTTACACGCATACATGCGATGATCACAGCTCGCGCTCCTCATACAGACTGGCCACTCATGAGTGAGAGAGTGCGTTCCGCCTTAAAGGAACAGTACCTAAATCTACTGGTTACAGTGTGTTATAAAATATTCGGTATAAATACATATAGTTATTTAGAAAAGTTAAAGAATAGTCTATCTATCTAAACCTAGTCTATTCAATAAACACCCGTCTGGTTTGTAATTTTTTGATTAATCAAAATTAATAGACTCTTTAGAAAGAAGCAATAAATGGAGAAAGATTTTTATGGTTTCTGAGATGTTGTCAAAGTACAGACAAAGCAACAGTTCCTCAGTGATATGATGATGTAAAACTCCTGTTCTGTCCGAGCTTAAAGGGGTCATATAATGGTACATGCACTTTTACAAGTTGATTGTACTGAAATGTGTGTTGGCAGTGCCTGTACACAACCATCATAAAATGATAAAAATCCATCCAGTGTTTTTGTTTTAATCTCCTTATATGTTTTCCCCTGCCTCAAATTGAGCCGTTCAATTTTGTGACGTCACACGCTCGGAAGCTCCTCCCACGATTGTTGATTGACAGCATCGTTTCAACACAGACCCGCCCTCGCTCGTGAGCTCGTGAGCTGTCAATCATAGTCTGCGCGGCGCGGACCGGCGCGCTCATTGTTGATATGCTGGAGCACTGTCTATGAGCAGAATGGCGTCTAAGCGATTGTGGTGTTCTGTTCTTGGGTGTAATAACGAACACAGCAGTCATTTTAATGTTCCTAAATCCGAACCGCTGAAGACGCAGTGGCTGAGTTTGTTTTCGAAGGGAATATTCCCCACGAGCAACGTCAATGCTTTCATGTTTGCGCGAATCATTTCTCACCAGACTGCTTTATAAACGAGGGTCAGTATGAGCTGGTTTTGCTAAGAAGCTGCTCATGAAAAAAGGATCGGTACCAGCTATTCGTGTTCCTGCTGAACCTCTAGAACAACTGAAGTGAGTGTAACGTTTTATTAAACTTTATATTAATGTTTTTATTAATCTTTGCAAATCGCTAGCTCCACGCTTCACAATGAATGCGTCTAAGGTTTATACTTAGAGTACATTACGGCATGTTTTCTATGTATGATGTTCTCAATATAATTCATAATCCCACGTTTATACTGAACAACGCGTTATGGTTATTGAGTTACAAACGGTGTACACACAGAACAGAGAGGCGGAGTCAGCAAAGCTCATTATCATTTAAAGTCATATGCATTGAAATGGCATGCTGAAAACAGAGCTGTTTTTGACCAGGTAAAATAAGTGTTTTCTTACAATACTAATGAGAATTTTTAATTAAAGTATATTACAAACTTTTAATTTAGACCCTAAAGAATAATACTAGCTTGTACAAAAATGGCATTATATGACCCCTTTAATGCATAAGTTGTCCAATTTAGATGTCTCCCAATCAAAATATAGAAGCTCTTGCAAGTTATTCAGAGGATCGAGACGACACAAAATCAGCTTAAACACAAGTTCCATTTTATTACTATTTTTTTTTAAATTGTTTGTCAAATTACAAGGTATAACCACAGTATAAGAACCTAAATAACATGAAACCTTCTTAGCCTGTAGAACAAGTCACTGCTGAATTGCCACAGACACATTCACTTTTCCTGAGCAATTTCATCTTCTCTCGGTGATGTGTTTGTCTGAGTCCATATTACGAGAGTAATCGCCTCTTAAAATTTACATTCCTTACATTTTCACAATGTGCAGAGAGTGATTCAATCCAATAAAGTCTTCAATATGTTCTCAATGCATCACCTCTAAACAGCGAGACTAAAAACAAGTTGTTTGTGATATGAATGATATTTGATAGACTATTGTTGACATCGTTTCACACATGCCTCATGTTCAATGCAAATAATTAAACTCCACAAAGAAACAAAACACATCCCTTCATAATTTTATGGCAACACACTAGTTTTCTGAAATATAATTTTATCTGTATGAGATGACCATGCACTGCTTGAGCGATGACACTGACACGAGTATTTTCACATTGTTGCTTTACTGTTCAGTTCATCTTGTATACAGTAACACTCAGTGTTTACTGCGCATGTGCAACACAACAGAGGAGTAATTTCAAATTCACACCGAGGTCCTGTGATAATATTAATCCAGTGCGAATAGAATGCAATAAAAAACCATCTTAACCTTCCTCCTAATTTTAGATTAAATTACTGTATTAAAGGTAATACCATCTTTTGCTTATTTACAAGTTATGGATCTGAACTTTGCTCACTTAGACACCTTCGGACAATGATTTTTCTCATGTCGCTGTAGAGCAGATGATTGGGTGAAACTCTTCTCACATAAAGAGCACTTGTACGGTTTCTCTCCAGTGTGAACTCTCTCATGAGCTTTCAGGGTTCCTGACCGAGAGAATCTCTTTCCACAGTGTGAACACTTGTACGGTTTCTCTCCAGTATGAACTCTCTGGTGTGTTTTTAAGTTGCCGGATGAAATGCAGGTCTTTCCACAGTCAAAGCACATATAAGGTCTCACACCAGTATGAATACTCTCATGCTGTTTTAAAGATCCAAGATGTGAAAAACTCTTTCCACATACAGAACAAAAGTGAGGCTTCACACCAGTATGAACATTAAGGTGTTTTCTTAAGCTTGATTCATAAACAAATGTTTTATCACACTGATCACAGCTGAATGATCTCACTCCAGAGTGACGGCGCAGATGCTCTTTGAGAGAGCCTTTCTGAGTGAAACTCTTTCCACACTGAGAGCAAGTGAACGGTTTTTCTCCAGTGTGAATTCTCATGTGATCATTTAAGAGTCTTTTATGTCTGTAACTCTTTCCACACTGAGAGCATGTATAAGGCCTTTCTCCAGTGTGAATCATCATGTGTGTGTTCAGCTTTGATTTACATACGAAACTCTTTCCACACTCAGAGCAGGTTAAAGATCCTTTGACTCCAGATTTTCCAGCTTGTTTCTGTGTGAAATTCTCTTCAGTCTTTGAAACGACTGCATTTCCATCTTCATTTGTGAAATAATGAGGTTTTTGAAACTGATGCTGTTTGTCTTCATTCACTTCCATTAGATCTAAAATAAACAAATTCAATTTAATTTAAAAAGGACAAATGAGAAACAAAGTTTATTAATTTTGCACATATCCAGTTTACTACTGACTCTACTAGTATCTAGTTTTAGATGTTATTGTTATATGTCAGTTTTCATCTTAATGTTCCTCATCAGTCATTAAAGAGAATGAAGGAAAACACCAACCTATTTGTTCCTCTGTATCTTCATCTTTTATTTTGCCGGGTTCTTCCTTAATCTCCATCTTTACAATAGTATGTCCGTAGTTTCTCCTGGAGTAATTCCTCCTGCTTGCCTCTTCTTCTCCTGTGGGAAGATGGGAATATTCCCCAGCATTTAAACTCTCATGAACGGCTGTGGGAGCTTCACTGACTGAAGGAGTGAATTGTGGTCGTTGTTGCTCATTTAGCAGATGATCATCACACTTACAATCACTCGAGATTATTCAGCTTTAAGTGAATTAAGGGTTTATTGCTGTAATCAGACATCAATTAAATCTGGGAATGTGTGCAAAATAGAATAAGAATAGAATAGGAACAAAGGAATAGTTTGCCAGCATTCAGATTAGATTTACCTAAAACTAGTTATTTCTTTCATTAACGACTGTAGCATAATTTACATCTGCACTTTTAGAAAATGTTGAAATTTTTAATTCAGGCACACATAGTCTATTATCTGTTTTTTAGCGTATGGATAGTTCAATTAAAACCGTGTGATCAGGCTTACTATTAATGTTGTTAAACTTAATGGTCGAGGAAATCTTTCTGCTTAAACAATAACAACACTGATATAAGAATGTGCTGTTTATTTTTCTATCAGTTAAGAGCCATTCACACGTTAATAATGAGACACAGTCAGTGAATAGGAAAAAACGCAAGGTCCAGAGATACATTTTTTTTAAGTTGAAAGAATTTTAAATTGGGCGCAGCATTTTTAGAAAGGTTATAGAATAGTCCAGGGTTGCCAACTTTGGGATTTTGGCTGGAGTGAGACTGTAAAATTTCAGTGCGCGCACGGAGAATTTTGTTGGTAACCCTAACCCTAATTTTAAAAATGTCAGTCCTTGTTTACTTAGTATAAACCCTGATTTATGCAAAAAATAGAATGGAAGCGTTTTTTTCAAAATGTACAATTAATTTAATGATTTCACTATAAAAAAATAAAGATAGATGTGATTAAATAACAAATAACAAACATGTAAAACAACAACATCTAAACAATAAGAAATCTCAAAACAAAAGGGACACATAATAGTAACTCCACCTCCCCAGAAAACCACAACACACAAGTCTCACAAATTAGGCCTGTTATATACGCCACAGTGTCAGTTTGTCCTGATCACTGCCTCTGCAAGAGCTCTGTATCTGAAGCAGGGTTCGATCCGTTCATGAACAATCCGCTCATTGCGTCTGTCACGTGACAAATTAACGAAAGACTCGGAAGGTAAAGTAATTATTTATGTTCCCTGTAAATTATTTTTGACTGGATTATAATGATTTCTTAATTCAGAATATGATAAAGACTGCGTAGGTGGATGTGTTCGGGGAATTTGACTGTTAAAAGTATAACATTTAAAGTAGGGGTGTGACGAGACGCTTATCTCACGAGACGAGACACGAGATTGGGTTCACGAGAACGAGACAAGATTTTTGCACAATTTTTCAGAAATCCTCAATGACAAAATTCATGACTGGAAAAATAGTATGCAGGTGCATTTTGCAATGTTTAACTAATAATCTTATAAAGTAGACCTGAAATGACATGCATTATGAGTATGAATTATCAAATGCATTAAAAGAAAACAAAATACAAGCACTGTGAAAGGTTTTTATTGACTGGCTTTTCTCTGTATGATTTCACATTAGTCTCTTCAGGCCTTACTGTACATTTAAGAGCTGATTTCTGATTGAGGCTGTGTGTGACCTCCTAACTGAACTCCTTGAAGTCTTATTAAGCGCAAACAATAAGTGCAAGTGCAACCATAATCAAAGTTAGCACACAGACTCTTTATAATTGTTTTCAAATTGCTGTTTTATTTTGCATCGGCAGTTATAGGGTTAATGCGGTGAGTTCGGAAAAGGCCGGATAGAGAGAAACGAGGCTGGTGTGTTTGTCTCTACACTTGCGTTCTGATTATAAGTTCAGAAACAGAGCCTCCCTTGTCTGTTGTCCTTAAGACATACAGGCCCTGTCCCAATACCCGCACTTGCGCCCTTGTGCCCCTCAATGCGCGTTCTCGCTAAGGGGTGCAAGACCGTAGGGTGTCCCGATCCTCTAATAGTGTTCTCCAGGGGTGATCATAAGGGCACTTACTGCACCCCTTTCGCAAGTGCGCATCACACCTCACTTTGCTGTGGGATATTACCCAGAATCCTTGTAGTGTTGTGACGTTTCGAACAGCTAACCAATGGGGGAGAATGGTTGCTATGGTGCTGTTCGGGAGCGGAAACTCCGAAGATAAAGGAAGCCGGTATGGTGAAGTGTTTTTCAAGGCCGCGAAATTTAAAAATAATAGTGTTATCGTGTCACGAAATGTAGTTTTAAGAGTTTTTCAGTCGAGAATATAGTTGTTTAAAGCTCAAATCTGTGGTTTGTTTATAAAGATAGCGCCTATTTAAAATTTTGATCTGACTTTTTCGGAGTTCCAGGGATCAGCGGGCGCACAGCGCTCATGTACCCCGCCTGGAACAGCCTTACCTCGGCTAGTCATTCTGATGTTTCCCGCGGGCTCTGTGTCTAGTGGTTAAACATGAGCTATAAATCGGCTTGTGTATATCTAACAGGCGATCTTTGGTCTCATTAATCTATGATTTGTTCCCTGGCAAAATCGTTTTGGCTGAGGGCAAAGTGAAGTTTCATAACTTTATATATTTATGCTATTTAACTGTAACGTTGTAACGTTAGCCTGTTGACTTCTGTTTGACTGAATCTTTTAACTTGCTTTATTTCTTGACTTATATAGCTTCTTATACTTTTTAGGCTACTTATAATTTAATAATGGCTATTATTGATCAAGTTCTAACATACACCTTCTGGTGCTACTTGGACACGTCATCAGTGATGAACCCGGGGTCAAAAGGTGTTTCGGGTCTTTAATCAACAGACACCCTCGCCCGGGCGACCCAGCCGGGGGTGATCAGTCCCCGGCCTGTGTCCAAGTGGCGTGCTACTCCACGGATCCCCCCTCCTGATCCACAGCCATCGTGAGGCTTTTTCGGCAGCCTCAGAGATGTTCTTTATGGCTCGCCTGCACAGTTGACCTTTAACTCCAAGGAGTTTGAGTGTTCGGGGTAACGACTGTCCTGCAAAGCCCCGGCAACCGACCTCCACTGGCTCACTGCGTGTTTTCCAGCCGCCGCTCCTGCACTCCTCCACCAGCTCTGCATATTTGGCTCTCTTGCGCTCATTTGCCTCCTCCAATCTGTCTTCCCAGGGGACAGTAAGCTCCACTATGACCACCTGCCTGGTCGAGTGAAGTGGCCGTGATGTGAGTCGGGAACTTGAGCTGCCTTCCAAGGTCCACTTGAAGGTGCCAGTCTCTTGCATTGGTGAGGAGCCCGCCTGGGGAGCATGGCTGCTGATGTGCCTTCTCCCCAGCTCTGACAAAGGAGATGGTTTGCTTGGAGGGCTGCTGACTCTTACTGCTCTGAATTGCTGTGGTGATAGTAACCGCAAGAGCCCTGAGGACCTGGTCATGTCGCCAGCGATATCGCCCATCCCCCAAAGCCTTTGGACAGCAGCTAAGGATGTGCTCCAGTGTGCCACTCCTTTGGCACAGTTGGCATGTTGGTAAGTCTACCAGGCCCCAGCGGTGTAGGTTGGATGGGCTAGGTAGAAGATCGTACACCGAACGGATCTGGAACTTGATGCGCTGTGGTTCAGAGCTCCACAGCTCTGCCCAGGTGATCTTACGCTGCTCGGCGTTCTCCCACCTAGTCCAGGCGCCTTGCTGTTTCATACTGACCATCTTGGTCATACGGTCCTCCTCCACCTCTGCCCGCACCTCTTCCAGCACCAACTGACGCTTCTCCCTCCCTCTTGATTTGTCATAGCGTGGCTTAGGGAAACTGCCCAGGCCTGCACGTCCCACTGCCACGTTGCCAACCAAGACACCATGCCTCAGCCGAGCCTCCGCTCTGTCCACCGCTTCCTGTGCCTTCCACTTCCTTCCCGTCTTAACACAGATTCCAGCTGAGGAGACTTTGGCATCGGAGGAATCTCGGTACATCATGACCTCCCGGGCACGTGTGACCTTGAATTCCTCAGACAAGCTGCTGATGGGAAGTTGCAGCTTGGTGGAATGACCATAGAGGGCGATGTTACTCAGGGACCGTGGGAGTCCCAACCACCTCCTAAGGAACTGACTGATGGTTCTCTCCAGTGCTTCTACCGTTGTCATGGGTACCTCGTATATGAGAAGGGGCCAGAGAAGCCTTGGCAGGATTCCGTGTTGATACATCCAGGTTTTGTACTTTCCTGGAAGCCCAGAC